CAGTAGCTCCATTTGTTGGGACACGTGAAACAGAAAATTGTGGTATAGGGTTCATGTAGTCAAATATCAAACATCATTGCTTTGCTTCTAATCTGGAATGCAGGGTCTCAAACCCGTGGCTTCCAGATGGATTGAATGTCAACACTCATAATTCCTACGACATGAGGATTCAAATCCAGCAAGTTAAGAAACGTGTTTCTAATTATGAGGGTAGTAGTATTTGCACCACAAATAATACATAGCAACCTCAATAGTTACAGTAAGTAGTCATTACTTGAGGTGTCCATTAGTCTTCTCACCTTTTTAGAATGGTCATTGTAGGCATTCATCACTTATCCCCACTTAGAGTTATTTTTGTATGCTTGAGAAATACATGACCCAAGCAAATTTGCTACTGAGCACAATACAGAACTAGGAATTTGAGGAAAGTAAGCCTCCTGGGAATAATGGGACAAAATGGATCTTAGCCTATGTTCAATTGTGAAGAGACAAAGAGAACTTGGGGGCTCAGCTTTATTACCAAGACCAGTTATCTTGACTCATAGCAGTGAGTCTATGACAGTGGTGGGTCCAGATCCCGTTCCAACAAGTACGGTTCAAACGGGCCCCGCGTCACCCACATGGACACACACAGTGCGCAAATGTGTCGTACTTGCCTGCGATGCTTCCGCAAGCCTCTGCGACACTCCAGCTGCTCAGCAGAGCAGCGCGCAGGAGTCATACATGCCATGTGCGTGCGCGGAAGCACCAATGGCTTAAAGGACAGATGAGGAGCCAGGCAGGCGGTTGGGCCCTCCGGAGCACTCCAGGCAGGCTCCAGTACACTCGTACCGGGGTGTACCGCCTGAAACCCACCACTGGTCTATAAGCAGTTTCCTTTTACTCTTTATAAAATTGAATATAAGTTGAATACAGTTAGAAGATTAATAGCTGCAACCATATACTTTTCAATGTTCTTCTTTGACCTGTATGAGATTAATAAGGTTGCAAATCCAATATCACCGCCCTTGTGAATTATATTTGCTTATCTTTGGCACTGACTATTATGATATTAACCTGTGTTGCACTGGTTTATTCTGAACTGTTTGCATGTTGTAATCTACAAGTTGCAAACATATCATGCGTCTGGAAATTAAAGAAAATATTTAAAACTCTGGGCTATGCAATTACTGTTCCATTAGTTCATTAACTATGTTCCAAAATATAATTTACATTATATAAACTGTATGAAGAAAAAAAGACGTAAGCAAGAAAAAATGTTTGGGATGACAAGAAACCAAAATGGATATATATTTGCTCCCAGCAACCTAGTTTTGGCATGTATCGTGGGTGACTGCATATGTGAGGCTTGGCAAAAGCCAATTCCAGACATGGCAATGTTTCTAAAATCTGAGGAACATCTATTTAAACTCTTAGCTTTCTACAGGTTCTGGAAAAATAATGAATTTTCAAGTGATATAACATGTTGGCCTGGTTAAACATACTTTCCATTTCCTCAACTACACCAAGAATAAATATGGTGTCTGTAACATGCTATTTTTTAGCCCAACTTAAGAGCCGAAGAATCTGTTACTTTCCCTTTAATTGTTATTTCGTTGCAATCACACAAGCAGATTGAATTTCCTTACTTTAGAAAAAAATGTTGACCTTTTTAATGCTTTGATACTCAAGTTAGGCAACATATTTAAGGTCTATTGGAGTATTCATGGTTTTGTTTTTAAATTGAGCTCAAAATACTCTTCCATTTAACCTGACTCTAAATTAAGTGAAAATATTCATCCAGTCCACTGTAATCATAAATGGCATTATTCATATAATACAAGATGATTCTATATCAGAGGCCTGTACTCCTTGCCCCACACAATAATTCAGTCAGGAATTAACATTCTCATAGTTTTCTTGTTCATCTCTTCCTTTCTGCCTATTCTGCTGGTGATTACTGTATGAAATCAGTATCCTTTAAAGGAGTATCATAGTAATTCAAATCAGCAGAGCCAGAACTAACCATCTGTAACAACTGAGCTGTAATGAAAAAGGTTAACAGAATCCATCAGATTACACAATCATACAGCTATAGTTAAATTTATATTATACACACTGTAAATCACCGGTGTCAAACTCAATCGTGTCACATGACATATCACATTTTTTGCCTTTGCGGAGCTGGGGTGGGTGTGGCCTGCAGGTGACGCATCCGGACACCAGTTTGACACCCCTGCTGTAAATGAATCATTTACATCCTTTGGATATAATCACTATTCATCTCTTAATGTCTTCTGCAATACGGTTTCACTTTGTCTTAACTAAACTCTAATAATTGACAGTGCTTATGCAGTCTCAGTGCTCTGATCAAGAAATAAGGAGAAATGGTCTTTATACTAAGGACCTACTCATATGTATAAAATAGCACTTTTATTCATCAAGTTAGTGTGGCTCGTAAAAAGGATCTTAGTCCGGCAGAAAAGCGGGTGCCTGGTAACCCTCTTGTGTGCACCCAAATTTCTGCAGGAGTTGAGGATTCAAACATTAAACTGATCCAACACTGAGTTTTCCATGCAAGATACTTTGACTACCCAGACGTTATGCAAATATCCCTTCAATGTCTTCTCATTCAAATTGTTGATCATCATGGGAACTTAGTAAAACCATGAGAGATCTGACAGCTGGCCTGCCATGATCTACTGGCCTTCTTGGAAACCCTTTGGTAAACAAAAGATGGAGCCTGGAAAATCCTATCAAAATTAAAGACTTTTGTTTCCTCAGCGGAAACAAAGTGGAAAAAGATTTGAGCCAAATCAGACCCATGGGATGGATATCCTAACAATCCTTTGCCTCTCTCCCCTGTAAAAAAAGAGAGAGAAAAGGGGATTTGCTTCTGTATTTGGCTTCCTTGTTTTGCTTGGGATTCTCTTTCCTGCTTGGGTAGCATCTTATGCCAGGAGGGCAGACTGGAACTGCCAGAACAAATTGTTCTTCTTCCTGCCTTCCTTCCCCCTTTATCCAAAAATGTGTACTCCTTATTCTTCCCAGACCCTCACCTTTCATTTTCTTCTCTTTTCCAAGCGAAGCTGTTCTTGTTCCCAAAACATGCCCGCATATGTCATGCATATGTGCTCTTGTTTACATAGGAGTATATATTTTAAACCTCCAGTCTTCTATGTGTGTCTGGAAGCCTCGTAGTTTTTATTCTTCTTAGAGGCTCTTGCCTTGATCAGAGGCATTGCAGTGAATGTAATCTCTTTTTTTATTATTTATTTTACTGCTGTCTTTTTAAGGGGAATTCTGTCTATGCTCCATTAAACTTAAAAACCTATCAGTTCCCTTGCCAGCTTCGTTTCTCTGATGTTCCTATCTGGTTGTCTTTTGCTCCTTGCACTTATTTTAATACATCATGCTACATGCCATTTCCTTCGTGTTATTATCCACCCATTCCTTAAACTTGTATTTTGTTGTAAGCCCATGATTCTTGGCAATCTATAGCATATACCGAATAATAAAAAATTATAATATCTATGGTATAATCTTAAAATCAGTACATCATAGTACCCCAGCATAAGAAGGAGACAATGAAACGAATGAATGTATCACAGTCCATTGAAACCAAGCATTGACTGAAAAGCAGTGCCTTCTAACTTCATTCCCCTCATCTCCTAGAAGAGATCAAAAGACCCCGTTCCTACAGTATCTAATGTGTTGGGTTGATTCTGACCCTGGAGGTACCAAGCTCGTTAAGATTTGCTCACTGGCCATTTCTTTATTGTCTAGCCTTTAGATATTAACTGCTTAAGATTGTGTTGGCTTGTTGATTGAAGGTTTTAAATATTAAATAGCTGTTGGATTGTCTTGTACACCACTACCTCATATATTCTTTCATATTGATTTATTTATTATCTATTCATAGCAAGATTATAAGAATCATGATCTAATGATCAAAATCTAATTTCAGCTTTTGGGATACCCAATAGGAACCTCTTTATTTTACCTAGTATGCCTGTTTGAGTTACCCTATTTAAGTTCTCGGAGCAGCCCCCAAGCTTTCTTCCTGTAAAAGATAAAACTTTCCAAGTCCAGTTGTGTCCGAATCTTGGGCATGGTGCTCATTTCCATTTCTTGGCTGAAGGAGCCAGCACTGTCTGAAGACATTTTCCATGGTCATATGGCCAGCAAGACTACCGGTATGCACCAAAGGCACACAGAATGCTGTTGTTAGCTTCCCATCAAAATGGTACCTATTTATCTACTTGCATTTGCATGCTTTTGAACTGCTAGGTGGGCAGCAACTAGGGCAGGAATGGGAGTTCAGCCTGGTGTACAGTGCTTGGGTCTTGAAACTAGGCTGTCAGGCTTCATCTTTAACCACTGAGCCATCACACCCCTTTCTTCCTGTACTTCTGTTATAAAATACAGCATTCATTAGATTTTTTTTGTATTCAAATCTCACATTTATTTCATATTTTTCCTGAAAGAAGCAAAACGTTCATACATCTAAAACAGCAGACTAAGTCATTATAGTTGGCTATCTATCACTCATATCCTATTAATTTTATTAGAATTTTAACTAGAATGTGTCATGTAGATTTATCTATGTGGTCATCAAGATTCAATTGCTTGAAAGTACATAAGTAGTCAACTGGAAAGTAAGTGGTTATAAGTACAGGTAGATTATCCATTTTGAAGCACCAATAAAATCTTTATGTCAACCAGCTCCCTAGCCAGTATGCGCAGAAGTCAAGTGACAAAGTTATCGGCCTGTTTCAGTTATCCTGAGATGAATTATTCTTCCAATATTGCTAATAAAAATAAAGCAAACATCTTAATACATCCTTTGACATATTCATGATCTGGCTGTCAATGCAATAAATGTTGTTACTTAAGAGGTTACATTTCATCAGCTCTATTGTACATAAACTAATTAGCTGCATGTCTTATAGAAGTTGCACTTTTTGTAGTATCTCATTTATATTTGACCACTGAATAGAATACACCATTTATCTTTTATTTTTTATAGAATAAGTATCCAGATGTTGTAGCACTTCCTGAAGGATTACATGGAGATTACATGCTCTTAAGGAGCACTCAACTTCCCAAGTAAGGCAACTTAACTGATTCATATTGATCCGTGGGGGCAGATATCTATAGAAGCTGTGGTACAGTGGCATAATAGCAGTAGCCATATTTTTCTCATTCAAAGACCCCAAGGATATTAAAGCAATGTACTTAAGGGAAAGCGAGAACAATTGTGAACCTGGCTAAGAACCAGGGTCTTTCACAAGCCATAAAGAAGCGCATTTCAGATCTCATATTTATCAACTGTAGTATAGCTTAAAATATTGAAAATATTCACTCGATGTACAAAAATCTCTATACTGTTTAAAACATGCAAAACAATAAACTTAGAACATAGAATAAGAGTTGGAAAGGACCTCAGAGATGTTCTAGTTCAACCCACTGATCATGCAGAAGACCCTATTTCAGTGATGGCTAACCTTTTTGTCATTTGCCAAAAGCACACCTGTAATACAATGCACTTGCCCCCCCGTCCCCTACACGTATGCACACACAACCCCCTACATGTGCCCCATCCCCTGCACATGCATATGCGATCCCCTGCACTTCCCGCGCCGCCCCCCACATGTGTGCATGACCCCTGCACAAGTGTTTGTACCCCACACATACGTGTGCACCACCACCACCCCACACGTGGTGGAGCTGAGCTGGGGCGACAATTCATGTGCCCACAGAGAGCACTCTGCATGCCACAGGTTTGCCATCCTGGCCCTATATCATTTCAGTCAATTTGTTGTCCAGTCTCTTTTTGAAAGCCTTTCCATTGCTTAATTGGTCTCACCATTAGGAAATTTCTCCTTAGTTCTAGGTTGCTTCTGTCCTTGGTTAGTTTCCATCCATTTTTTCCTTGTCTTGCCTTTAATATAGCTTGCGACCCAATCTAGAACATGTAGAAGCTGCTCTCTAAATACAACTTACCGCTCCTTTTGTAAAGGTCTGAAATAGTAATGATGATGGGCTTTATTACAGCATCTATGCAATTTTCCAAGCCCTTCCAGAAATTCCTGATTTCTCCTTTAAAGCATGAAAGAATGCAATAAAAGTAGCAGTTGTCCTTCATTTGGTATCATTCAATAGGAAACATTATATCTTGGATTTTTTGTTAAAAAAAAATATTTATCTAATTTATTCAATTTCTTTAGCCACCTGACTCAAACAAGTGACTCTGAAGAGCTTGCTTATACTAAAGTAGGTTTGAGTTACAAAGAAATTAAAAACATTAACACAGTAAAAACATTCAGAAAAAAATAAATACAAACAGCAGTTTATTTTAATAAATTGAAAGAAATAATTTCATGGCAGGAAAAGCGAATGGGAAAAGGAGTTCAAGGTAGATGACAGTTCTAAAAAATGATGACACTAAAGCAAAATGACACAATCCAAATAAGAAAGTAAGGTAGGGAAAGGACCTACAGCATAGTTTCTGGATTCTTTTCTTTCCCCGAGGGGCCTATGTTGTATCTATGTGAGCATTAGGAAGTTCAGGATAAGACACAGTCGCTTTCCTGCTACTCTGGCTATATGACGAAGGAGGGCAACATTCTGAACCCCCTGCCCAACTGCCTCTCATAGGGGGAAAATATTTTTCTCTAGGGCCCCTGGCCTCACCCCATCCTCAAATTTGATCCAATTCTGTTGAGTATCCAGAGTTTTTGTACTGACAGATAGATTCCAATCTCCTTCACACAACTTCTTTCTAGTTGTCTTTTCAGTACAACTTTGTTGGGGGGAAAAAACAAGGGAAATCAGGAAAAGCCAATATGCCTGCACCAAATCTAATTGAGGAAGTGTGCGTTTTCAACGATTTTCAGGTTTTCATCCATCAGAAAACTGTACCAAGCCCAAGAATTCAAACCACTATATTTTGTACTACCGAGTTCCAAATTACCTTTGCATGAGATGAGAGTATTTAAAATAAAGTCTTTTATGCAGCTAATTTTCTCTACTTTGTCTGTGAGAGTATGTCCCTCTCTATCTGTATGCACTCATTTTAATTATATTTTCTGACTTTTATAGATTTGAATTAATGATTGTTTGGAAGATACAGGTAGATGAAAACGGAAATATTATACCAGTTTTGGATCTTTTGAACAAAATACCACTACAAGGTAAATTTTTGTCACAACCATCTTCTTCAGTTTTGTTTTAATTTTGACAATCTTCTTAGTATGTTTACTTTGTCGACTGCCACTCAACACTCTCCTTTTGGTGAAACTCCAAAGATACAAAAAGATATAAAACAGTCCAAGTGGGTTGAACATTTTCATTCTTGTCAGACTAGAGGCAGCAATTTTCATGAGACATCTCAATTAAGAGTATAGCTCTGCATGTCCCCAAAAATGCTTTTTCAAAAGGCAACTGGACTTTGTTTTCTTCTTGAAGATGTTTCATTTCTTATCCACAAAGCTTCTTCAGTTCTAACTGAAGGGTGGGGGGGATGGAAAGTTTTATATTCCTTGCAGTCATCTGATCATTAGCGCTCCAAGAGTCATCGAGGCCACTTGGTTTATCTGTTCCTTCAGGGTCAACTGAATCAGAGTGCACATGGTTGTGGAATCTTCTTGGAGCTGTTGAAAGAATTGTGTTGTAAACAGGACATAGGTGGTGCCATATCCCCTGACTGCTGTTGAGTGAGGGTGGTTCAATTTTGACAGAGATAGCCTCTTTGACTCCTCTTTCAAACCAGTTATTGTCTCTGTCCAGTATGTGGACTTTGCTATATTCAAAAGAGGGACCTTTATCTTTCTTAGCTGAGAAGTGAAAAATCTTCAAGGAAAAAAAAAATCAATTGCCTTTTGAAAAAGCACCTTTAGGACAACTCTAATCTGGATGAGGATCTCCATAGAGATATAGCTCAGCATCCATTAAGATCTAGGCAGCAGTTAGGTTTTTTCAATACAATTTCTGACATCAATTGCTGACAAGGAAGAAAGCAGTGGTTTAAAATTCCAAGGTTAGACTTGGAATGTACTTGAAATAAGTTTTAACTCTCTATTTCATCTCTTCTTATAGGCACTCTAGCTGACAAATTTGCATCAGACGCTCCGCAAGGTTTCAGAAGTCTCTTGCATATGATTGGGATACAGGCATCCATTGAAACTGTGATCAATTCAATTTCTGAAGGCAAATGAGTGCCAGGAAAACCAGTTATGCATCTATCATTTTATTGAATATAAACATTAAGTTATTTTCCATTTAGAAACCATACCCATAAAACATGCTATCTGTACAATTATGGCACATATATATAAATTGTCATGACAAATAAATACAGCTTTTTAAATACAAAACGTCAAATCAGATACAAGTAGAATGCATTTCATTAAAAAATTAACTTTCTGAATCAAAGTGGTTTTTCCCCTTCTACATCAGTTCCTAAAACGTTCTCAGATCAGCCTGATAAATTCAAGTCTAAAAAAAGTGGCAGTTTCAATTCACAGCTGTATGCATATATGTAACAGTGATTCTAGAATACAGAACAGTTTGATAATAATTAAAAATAAGCTACAGGAGCATCATACAGTAGCACACCTACTACTTCTTCCATAAACAGTGATTGAAGGCAAATCAGGTTTATCATACTCGTAAAATAGAAATGAGACATTTTAATTTACAAAGCATAAACTGAAATTTATTAACCACATGCTCCATGAAGAATGAGTACAGAAAAGAGCAAAAATGATGGCACTGATCTGCATATAACTTGCCTAAATATTCCAGTATTATCTTTCCATATTTAGATTTCCTAGAATCAATTGTTTTAAATGCAACCCAAGTAAATAAGTAGCTATGAAAAGTTTTCACTGTTCTTTTAAAGTGCTGTAATAGTTTGTTTTAGAAAAAGCGAAGTTTATATCAGTTTTCAAATACAAAGCCTCAAATTGAGCATTTTAATCAATATTTGCATCCCATGCCTTCCTAGTTATAGATAGTAAGATATAACAATCTAAGTTAAAAAGCTTGGTTAATGAGCACTCATTTTATACCTGTCATTGCAGCTGTAATTAAACTTAGCAGCTTACCATGTCAGCCCAACCCAAAATGGTTCTATCTTAAGGTTGCCAAAAGTAGAATTTCTACTGAAGCTTACAAATTTTCTTTTCTGGAGGTAAGTTTTGAATTCACACATGGAATGCCACAAAGACTTGCATAGAACAGTGAGCAAAACAGCATTATATGCAAGATGTTTAGCTTATCTTGCCCTAAATGCATTCTCTAGATGCAGAATTTGATCGATTGCTGATTGCATATTGCAGGTGATACCTATCCAAATCAAATGCCCATTGCTGCACAGCTGTTTGTGTCATTTGTTGTTATTATTTCAACATATTTTGACATTTGAAATGCTTCGCATATCTCTAGTTACTACTAATTTGCTTTAAGAATGGTAGCCTTTCTGAAAAATGCTTTGTATTACAATGTATTTCAATAAAATATTTTTGAACAAATTTAGCAACATTCACAATTACTAATAAGTTTAAAAGTTGTGTTCATTTAATTGTGCATTATATTTTTTTTTAATTCAAATTCCAGAACTATGCCCTTACCTGACATCCACTGACTTACAGGCCGCAAGCTCAGGACAAGATTTAGAATTAAGGTGAATAAATATCACAAAATACAGGTTTTTTTTAATTAACAGATCTAGAAGTAAAACTTGTGAGATACTCATAAATATTAACATTAAACTTAATATAATAATAGCAAATTGGAAATCACACAAAATATCATAGATTTTTAGGGATACTTTCCGACAGATAAATATTTTAGTGATGATACATGACAGTCAAAAGATAAGATTGTGCCACTAAAGGCCAGGCTGTAAAAAGTGGTAGGCATCAAAGAAGCAATTGCAGAACTTGTTCTTACATAAAGGAGGGCAGGGGTGGGAGAAGACTCTTCTTTCCCACTTCTTAATTCTTCTTGCCCAGGGTCAAGCCCACTGAAATCACATCTACAGGAATTTGCATCACTAACATAATTCAGAGAGCCTGTGATGTACAGCTTTCTCTGGTGCAAGTCACCTTTGGCTCCAATCCAGCGATTTTTCAATGGCTGAAGCAGCTTTGGTTTCAAGTTTTTCACAGCATGTAAAAATCCTTTATCTACCTACTTTAACATTTAACTTTTACCATTAGACAATCTAGAATTTCTCTTCCTGTTTCAAAATAACCTATAAGTAGTTACCTAAAATCTGAAATTCTGAATTCAGAAGTCCAATTACACAGTCTGAATTAGACATGGCACCCTTATTGCCACTGTGCAGCACAGTGCTTCCACTGCAAAATCTAAGGCATATTTCACTATTTTCTATTTTTGTATGCAAGAGGTGGTTTTAAAAAAAACCTAACAACTCTTGCAGAGAGAGAGAGATTTCCTTTTGCTGAGAACATTTAATATCTCTATAATGTTGAGCTCAAGATAAAGAATCCAATTGCTACTGAACTTGTATGCCTTAGCAAAGCAAATGGCTGCTGTTGAAGGTCTAAAGAGAAGCCAAGCAAAAATGCAGACAAAAAAAGAAAAACTATTACCCAGAGAAAATTCATGGCAATATTTTGAACGTCTCAATTGTTACCCATTGACGCCTCAGAATGGCTTAGGCAACTGAAAAAGATATTAATGAGGCATCTAAATATTAATGAGGCATACGCAGCAAATAATTGCTGAAAATAGCTAATTGTAATTGTAACTGTTTACATTACATAATTTCTAAAACCTATTTAATAAGGGAACTAATTTGCTTTTATTGTTTTTATCATTATTCAAGAAAGGGGGTTTCTTTATACATTAAATCTTTTTAATAAGTTTTAAACAATTTGGAGAACAACTACATAAGATCACATAAGAGACAATACATATGCAAGCAGCAGTCTAAGGAGCATTAAGAATCTAGAATTATTTCTAATCAAGAATTTTAGAATTTGATCAGATCACCTTATTTTAAACAAGTGATACTCAGCAATTCATATATAGTTATAGCTGCAGTTAGAATTTTAATAAGGATACTGGTTTTCGGCATTTGAACAATCAAATTCTCTTCTACAGTCATAGAACAGTCATTTCATTCAAACTAACAGTACATGTCTTTCTTACAATAAATGCATTCTTCAAGGCAATCTCGGGGTTTTTTTTGTGTTTCTGAAAGGTAGATAAATTGAAAGCACAACTGAAAATAATAAAAAACCCATAACTTAATTTTCCTCTGTGTTAAATATTTAACCAGTTACATTTTATGGAGAACTAGTGTGCAGTCTTCATTTTCTTTTAAAAGATTTGACATTACTGAGTCATCTTTGGCTTGTGTCCTCTTCAGATAATAATTCACTATCTTCCCATCAAGCTTATATTGATGACGAATGCTTTCATATGGCTTCAGGTCTAAATCCAGGACAGAAACTGAAAAGGTGAATCTTGATTTTGATGTTAGAACCACTGGCCTCTGCTCAGAGCTGAAATTTAAATAAGAACAATAATTACAATTTGGTATTCCAGAGAAGGAAAAATTATCTGACTTTCTCTGGTCATCCTTATATGAAAACTCTACCTATATCCTAATGGTGACAAGCTATAGCTGATGTTGCATTTTGAAAGTACTTGTGGTTTTAAGTAAAATACAGTTTTTCCCGTAGGAAATGTGGTGCAAAAATTTGTTTGAAACTTTTCCTACCATTTTATTTCAAACTTTCCTAAATAATTATACCATCAGTAGTGCTATGTGAATAAATTACACTGAGAGGTTAACCATAATGAGCTTATGTTAAAGTAGCAATTTTCACATAGCTTATTTTGTCACTGACAACCTAGGAATAAAGGAAGCTATTCTGATTCTCTAATAAATGAATCTATACTCTAAACCTGAATAAAGATCTAGACAATCGTGAACACAATAACACACAGCTTTACATCTATTATTGAAATTATATCTTGGAATTTCTCATGTTGTTGGAATTGACTGTTTTTCAAGTTTTTGGGAAAGTAAAGATACTATTTCTGCTACTGTTTTACAGGAGAGGAAATATGCCAATTTTCCTATTCATGTGCTTCTAAAATTTAGCAGTTTGAAAACATACAATAAATAATTATACCTCCAGAAAGCAACTTGGCTGCTAACACCAATTCCAGAGGTACTTCCCGTGTTTTGAATGTCTAGACTTCAAAATTTAGAGTAGCAACAATAATACAAACTAGATTGAAAAACCAAGCACTTCTCATGTCTGCAATATATCACCACTGCTGTGAGAGCTACATTGGCTGCTGGTGTGTTCGGCTGCTGGTGTGTTCCAATTATAAAACTGTAAATGGCTCAAAACTAGGAGACAGGACTCTATCTTTTACAGACAGATTTTGTCCATTTGATCCAAATGAGGTTCCTAGTTACCATGAAGCTCAATAGGAAGGGGCATACGAGCAGGTAGTCATTGTGGGGTCTTATTCTCTCCCAAGGAAAGGGTGAGCCCCACTCTCATGGCCTTCAGAAAGCTGGATAAAGCTTGTTTCAGAAGGCTTTTAGAGGCTGATTGGTTTTGCTTATGATATATGCACTATTGTTTTACTGTTGCTCTTTTAGTACACCATTTAGAACCTCTTCAAATGAAGTTAAACTATTAGAAATAAATATAATCTTAATTTTCAATGTCATTGTGTTAAATCAAAGGTGAACATGCAGATAAACTTTTCTAGTTTTATATTTCTTCCATTTCCTTCAGATTATTACACACAGATAAAAAGTTACATCTATGTATGCAATGGACTATAAATCATACCAATAAATGAGAATATTTATAGCTCAGGATTGAAATGAGGGGCCCTTGGTGCTCTCTGAGCTTGGATGTTTTCTTGAAGTTGTTATATTAACACATCTAGGTAACATCATTACTAGCACTGATGACATTACCCAATTTGGATAATGAAACATCTGACTTTAAGTGAAACTGTACATTGCATACAAAAATTATATATTTCTTCTTGAAAAGCTGCAGAGCAGAATCACTCTCTTTTATCCAGATATCAGACAAAAAGTTTTTCAGGAGAGTTCATGTTTTCACTATGCAACTCTTAAGGTGTCAGCTGACCAAAACATGGCAGCCATCAAGA